CATTCAGCAAAAATCAACTTCCATTCGTGATAAAATTATCATCAAATCGAGAATAAAATTGAATTTCCTCAATCTGATAAAGATTATCAACAAAAAGTCCATAGCTAGCATCGTACTTAACCATCAAAGACTAAATTCTATTTTCCTAAGAGCAAAAATAAGTAAGGATGTCTACTCTCACTCTTATTCAGCATAGTCCTACCCAATGCAAAAAAGCAATTAAAGGAAATAAAAGGCACGCAGAATGGGGAAAAAATCTGTCCCTATTTGTAGATGACATGATTGTCTATGTTAAAATTTCAAGGACTCTACAAAAGAAACTTCTAGAGCTAACCAGTGAGTTAGGCAAGGTTGCAGAACACAAGGTCAGCACACACACACACTCACACACACATCAGTCATATTTTTGTATACTAGAAGTGAACCATTGGAAATAGAAATGAAAAACACTGACACAACATTGTAAAATGACTATTACTCAATAAAAAAAATGTTCAAAAAAAAAGAAATGAAAACCACAATACCACATATTATGGCTGTGAAAAAATGAAATACTTATGCAAAAGTCTAATAAGACGTATGGGAGATGAATGCTAAAAACCAATCAATAATCCCACTCCTGGGTATTCATCCTAGAGAAATGAAAATCTATGTTCTTGCAAAGATCTGTGCATAAAAGTTCCTGACAGTTTTATTTGTTATAGCCCCAAACTGGGAACAAACCAAATGGCCTTCAATGAGTGAATGAATGGGTAACAAACTCTGGTATGTCATATAATGAAATACTTGTGAGCAACAGAAAAGAAAAAAAATTATTGATACACACAGCAGCTTCAATCTGTTAAACACAAAATTCCATCAGGTAGATCTGAAGATCTAATTGGCTTTAGTAGGTGATTCCTGAATCACATGGCATCCCATCTAGCAACTAGAAGATGCTCCAAGAAATGGTACAAAATGGAAGGCTTTTGTAGAAAGGAGGGTGGGGCAAAGAAGCCATTAGCAGAAGAATGGAGAGGGTTATTTGGGGCCAGGATGTCTTTTGGGGGGAAGGAAATGGTGAAGATTTCATCAAGCAAACTGCCTCTTCTTCCTTTGGAAGATGGAGGTGGCACCACGGGACAGACTACCTCATTGGTGCTGACCAGCAAATCCCCAAATGGTTGATTAAGATTACATTTCTGGGGAAGGTCAAAAGTGCAGTTAGGTTAGGTACTAAATCTAGGTTTGGTGCCATGGGCTTTAGCACAAGTGATACCATTTGGGGCCTGTGGGTTTTCTCTTTATTAGGTGGATTTTGAATTCATTGTTTTGCGTGAAAAGGTCAATCACAAAGCCACTCAAATATCCATCAGCAGAAGAGTAAATAAGTAAATGGTGGTGTATTCATACAATGAAACACTATACATTTCTATACAATGAAATACTACACTACTGTTACCACAGTGTGGATAGAGTTCACAGACAGTATGATGTGTGAAAAAACACCAGACACAAAAGATTTATGCTGGATGATATCACTCATATAAGGTCCAAGAATAGGCCAAGACAGTTGATGATGCTAAAAGTCAGAATAATGGATTCAGTGCTGCGGATGTGGTTGTGGACCAGAAGAGCACCAAGGAGACTTCTGGGACGATAGAAATGCTCTATACAGTCATCTGGATGTATCCATGTTTGTATGTGTACAAAATTAATTAAGCTGTGTACCTGAGAGCTGTGCACTTTACTAAAGTTCAGCTGTAGGAAAGTATACATGAAGTATATATATTGAAGTTTATACTTCAATAATAAAAAAGCAAAACCCACCAATATTTTTTAAAGTCTAGTCATCAGTAGTGTAAGGTTGGCTTAGATCCTCATCACGATGTACAAAGAGCTTGATTACTTTTATCCTGCTATATTATGTGGCTTTGGTTTAATGCCTGCAAGATGGTTGTTGCGTCTGGAAGAACCGCATCTTCATTCTTTATAGAGAAATGGAGAAAGCAAAGGGCAGAGGCCAGAGGCCAAAGACGCAAGCCAGTTGAATTGTTTCCATTTTAAACGCGACTCCAG